TACACTGGGAAAATCTGCTGCAAAAGACCTCTTTAAAGTTAAAAAGCAAAGATGTCATTTGGAGGATTAAGATGCGCCTGACCCAAGCTACTGTATTTTCGATTGTCTCACATGCATACGAAAGCTGGACAATGAATAAGGAAGACTGAAAAAGAATTGATGTTCTTTGAATTATAGTGCTGGTGAAGAATACTGAATATACCATGGACTACCAGAAGTATGAACAAACTGTCTTGAAAGGAGTACAGCAGAGTGCTCTTTGGAAACAAGAATGGTGAGACTTTGTCTCATGTACTTTGGACATGTTATCAGGAGGAGGACATCCTGCTTGGTAAAGTAGAGGGTCAGGAAAGCGAGGAAGACCCTCAGTGAGATGTACTGACACAGCGGCTGCAACAATGGGCTCAAACATAGCAATGACTTGGAGGATGGCACAAGACCAGCCAGTGTTTTGTTCTGTTGTACGTAGGGTCACTATGAGTTGGAACCGACTCGGCAGCACCTAACAGAAGAAATTAAGCCTGAATTTAAAAAAAAAAAAGGTGCAGGATTTGGGGCCAAATGACTGTTCAAACCCTGGCTCTGTCACTTACTTCATGTATGACTTTTACTAAGTTTTTGCTGCTCTTTAATTTTGTCGACTATAAAAGGAAGTTAGTACAGTATATATTCTGTGTGGTTGTGATAAGAATTAAATGACTGAATACATTTAAGGCATACAGAACGGTGCCAGGCATAGTTAGCTGCTATTACTATCGCTACTACTTATATCACCATTCCTGCTACGATTACTCCCTCTGTTGCGCACAAGCCACAGTGCCGATTTCAGAGCAAACCAGAAGTTCTAATTTGCAGTGAATTTATTACAGTAAGAAAGGAAGCTGACTTTTCAGGTGAATTTTAGCAATGGTACTGCAGAACAAATGTTCTAGGGTTAGCTCTCTGCCCAACTCTATAAGCTCAGTGATGAGGGCATTGGCGGGACACTCATTCAGTAATCTATTCTATGGGAAAGTGTAGAGTAGAGCACATGTGCCTGAGAAGCAGCAGAAGATACCCTGTAGTTTACTACCCTATGAAGAGCTGCCCCACCCCCCACCGCTTATTTCTAAGTCACTGGTACTGTTTTCCATAAACTTTTCAGGCACATCAACCCATAGCATAGAGAAGAGTCAGCACATTAAAGCACACAGCAAGGCCTCTGTTTATCCCCTAATGTAGCCTCAGGTCTTGTGAAATAGGAAGCAAAGGAATGAGGCAGGTAACATAAGTATAGCTTAAAGAAAAAAATCCGACTCATAGTGACCCCATACGACAGAGCAAAACTGTCCCACAGGGTTTCCAAGGAGCACGTGGATTCAAACTGCCAACCTTTTGGTTAGCAGCCGAACTCTTAACCACTATGCCACCAGGGTTTCCAAGTATAGCTTAAGTGTCTAAAAATCTGATTAGACAAACAACCCAAACAAAAAATGGGCAAAGGACTTGAATAGACAGTCCACCAAAGAGGATATTCAAACGGCCAACAAGCACATGAAAAGATGCTCAATGTCATTAGCCACCAGGCAGATGTAAATCAAAACCACAATGAGATACCACCTCACTCCCACTATGGCAATGATCAAAAAAAAAAGGGAAAACAACAGGTGCTGCTGAGGATGTGGAGGAAGTGGAACCCTTATCAATTCCTGGTGGGAAGGCAAAACAGTACAGCACTGTGGAAAAAAGTTTGGCAGTTTCT